CTTTATAAACGCATTTTATAAATTATTGTGTCATTTTACGTCTTATTTGTGTGCATTATTTTAAAATTTTTTTATGAGCCATACATATCCCCCCCCTCCTCCCCCTATGAGCAGCCATATATCTCACCCCTATGGGATATACGGCAAAAATGCAAGGGTTTAAAAAAGTTCATTTTTTAATATGAAATATAAATATTTCGAATTTCTAATATTTTTTTTATAATAGTAGACAGTATAAAAATTTTTACTGATATAGTTCGTTTACTTTAAACATAGTAAATAATCAATATAATTGGAAACAAAACCGTTTATTAAAATACATTACTTAGATACGAAGCGCCACTCCGGTCTGAATGTTAAGATGTTGAACTACTATATATTATATATTCATCTAAATGAATTAATTTCAGATATGACAATTACGTGCCGATATGGTCGTCGGACTCTTTCAACGTAATTAATCTGAAATATTAATAATCCCCCCAAAATTTCTCAAATCTTAAAAAACTGTAATAAACTTATTGCGAAGTAAATAGTGAATAATACTTAATAAATTAAGTTTTTGATAGGTGCGCCGTATATACCAGGAGTTATCCTATATCTTTATCAATAATTAGTGTTTATAAATACTGAGTGAGAGGCTTATAACTTAAGCGTTTTTATTAATTCTAATGACGTTGAATTGAGACAAGAAAGAATTATTTTGAAAGTATTAGTTATATATTTTTTAATTCCGATTTTTCCTCGTCTATTCCTATGATAATTTTATGTTACTAGACTACTTCTTGACTGTAAAGCAGGTTAAAGAAGTAAATGTCACGTTCACACTATCGCGCGATGTTTCTACCTAAATATTTTACGGCGTGTACACGGTCAGTGCACGCTAAATATCGAACTACTAGTTGACGTAAATCCAACTACCGCTAGTCCAGATGACCTCTAGACGAGGGACTATACCTACCGACTTGTTTGCCGAGCACTGCCTTTAACGAGCTTTATTAATGATAATCGATTCGCGTACTTGTAGAGCGTAACGATTGATCATACGAGGTCGATGCGCCGCCGTTGAATACTATCGCGACTGCTTTGTCCATAAATCGTTCTCAATGGAAAGTAATAATGGCGCTCTATCGTGTCTCCATTATTTAGCCTTTTATAACGGTTGCCGGTCGCGATCTCTCATATGGTCGTACATTTTCGATATCGGCTTAATTTACTTTCAGTCTGGATATTTTCTAGAATCGAAATACGTGATACCCAACTTTTCACAATCAGTTTCATTGCAATTCGATCAAAAAATTGACCGTTTGAGAACCTTCTCTAGAACATATACCTATTTATGCTATTTAAATTTTTGTGAACTTATTTAAAGAATACAGAAAATGCCTATAATACTATTGATGAAATTATTATCAATTACGTATAATATTTATTTTTGTGAAAAAAAAAAATAAGTATAAATAAATATCATATATTTAGTATTTGTTGCAAACCTTCTTTGATAAAAATTTCGAAAATTTATTTAATGAACGTACATACAAAACACATGCGTATCTAAATATGTAAAACATATATTTCTCGTTTCTTTTCCATATATTTAATAATCATTTATAACACGATAGAGAGAAAGAATCGGCAAGAACTACTCCTCATTTTTTGTCCTATTCTCTTCTCATAATATTGTTAGATATATCGCGGGACGCGCAACGAGACCCACCAACGAGCGTGACTCGCTGAGGTAGTCCTTATTAAATCTTCCCCGTCTCCATTAGAGGCAGAAATTACGGATAATCCTTTTTATTACGCACGCTACACGGACTCCCATGGAAAGAGAGCGCAGAAAGGCAACCGGTACGTTAAAGAAAAAAAGTCGGGATGGGTCGCGGCCACGGTTCGACGCGGCATGGTGGTCCGCGCTTCCCATTCCCGACAACAAAGCGCTTTTAAACAATCTCCATTGTGCTCGTAATCCCGAGCCATGCGTGAAATCAACACGTTTTTCCACTTAATTGACAAACACACGCCTCTCCGTCCATGTGTTCCCGGCGAGCGCCCACCAAACATGACTTGTATCGTAACATATTTCAAATATATATAACGAGTAATATAACAATGTTACTTCCAACTGTACTATTTCAAGCCGGAACGATCACATTTTACCGCGGTAGAGAAAATCTTTTACTTTTAGACGACTTGAGATTCGTTGCGCAACTCGAGATTCGTTGTGCAAGAAATTCTGAAATACGCTAAAGGATTTTAAGAAGTTTGCTAAATTCGCAACATTTCTTAAGAGATGGGCAGAAACTAATTTTGTTTCTCTCACGATATAAGTTTCTTCAAATAAACTCCGTTTTAATGATTCCTGCGTAAAATATATACGTTTATAAGAAATTAATACAGTATATATATTGAGAAAAAAATACTGTTGATTCAATTAAAGTCTATATTATGGGCTGTCACTAACACAAATGATTAATTCATGTATATTTTTATTATATATAAAGGCATAAATTATTGTATTTCAATAATCAAGGCCTTTATGTCAATAAAAATATATACACGTACGTATATACATGTACGTATGAATTAATTACTTATGTTAGTGACAGCCCGTAATATAGACTTTAATCAACAGCATTTATTTCTCAGTATAGGTAAGCAACTTAGAAAAATTATTTTGAGGATGACATGTACAGATACTTATAAAATTCATTCAAAAGAGTAAAAATTTGTAAATTTACTTTAATTATATGAATGATACAAATCGGCAATTCCTCGTCAATAATGGTAAGGATAGAACATATAGGGCAAGAATAAAAAAAAAACACTTGTATGTATCACGTTATTCTACGTATATACAATAATTTATTTCGCTACGAATCGTTTCTACATTTACAAATCATTTTTGCTCGAGCGAGTACGAGTACAGAATATAGATGGATGCGACAATGCACGAACGTAACGAGCAGCCTCTTGTTTTACGGAGTGCAAGGCTTATAATTTAGTCGACGGTACATTACGCAAGGAAACGCATTTAGTAGCATTCCACGAAAATCTGAATAATGATGCAGTTCCAACTTTTGCAGATTTAATATCGAAACTATATAATTGAATAGTTTCCATAGAAAAGGAATCAAGTATCTTTGTGTCTATTTCGCGAAAGTAAAATATTATATGTAGATTTTTTAAAGAATTTTATTTAAAGAGAAGAGAGAATACTTGATAAAGTGTTTCACGTTATAAAAATAATTTACAATGTAAATCCTTAATCTACTTTTCTAAACCAACGGTTTGGTTTTCTTAAAATTTAATTATAATAAGTTATATTAACCTAGAAATATATATTTACATTTTTACAAAAAGACAGATAAATAAATAAAAAGTACGAGTAATGAATATTTGTTATTTGCTCGTGGTTTCTCTGATTTATTATAAAAAATGAATGATACAATTTTTTCTGTATAAATATTCTCAAAACGCGAGGAAAATATTTTCGTAAACTTCTAATTAATATTTAAGATCGGGACTTTTGATTCCTTTTGTATAAAATATTCCAATTAAATAGTTACACAGCACAAAACCAACTTTGAAATTTATATTTATACATATATGAATCTTAAAATTAGCTTTGCATTGTTAATTTTGTGTGCTAAACCTAACATCGGTATAGCTGTGCTCGCGCCCGCGTCTGCGCCTAATTGTTTAGAGATCGTCTAATTAGTTAATTACATAGGCGAAAGTCGCCGATTCGGGGTATCGCAGTTGACAATAATCGATCGACCTATACGCTCTCGTATGATAGCCGTAAATTACAAATAATTCTAGCTAACTGCTCGCGAACAGTTTACTTCGTAAGTTTAGAGACCAAGCGACTCTCCTCTCGTCTGCGGCGCACAAGACGAAAACCAATATCAGCAAGCAAAGACCCCCTCGATTAGAGAACGGCCTTTACAAAACGAGGAACTAACGTCGATTATCTACGATGTCTCCCTATATCTGCATCAGTCTGCATCGCATCGATTCGCGATGAATTGGACAAAAACAAAAAAAAAGATCGCGTGGTAATCGAGCTGAAATAAAAAAAAAAAAAAAAAAAACATCCACGATTATCTCGTTCGAATTTCGTCGCCACTGAATAAGATAGTATATAGATTTTAAGATGTCAGTAGCAAATAGCAATTCTCGCGGACGCGTTCTTATAAATACGTTACACCTTCGCTTATCTAACAGAATCTGATCGGAATTCTTCATATACATTACTAACGGCGGTAATCGGAACTTTCTACTTCGTACGTGTATGCGCGAACGATGTATTCTGATTTGGGCATAGTTTCCCAAAGGGTACCAGATAAATGAAGGTGAAATGTATACGCAGACGGCATAATATCCAGGGGACGTGGCAGAAGTGTCGAAAGCACACTCGGTATCTTTGAGCCTTTGAACATCCTTCAGACCATCTTCAAGACGCATCGTGAACTCTCGCGTCGTTCGGCTAATCCCTTCGATAACGAATTCATTCGAGATAATGAAGAGAGTTCAAGTGGCGGTGCCATAAGACGGCCTCTGAACACCCGTGGTTGCGATCGACATCGAGTACCCGGCGTAGAGCGGTCTTGGCACGAGGAGCGAGGATTTTTTCGCGATCGACTCAACCTCGGTCAACCTCGAAGCTTCCTCGTCACCAACACCAACACCGACACCGCCACCACCACTACCACTACCATCACCACCACCACTACCACAACCACCACCACCACCACCACCACCACCACCACCACCACCACCACCACTACCACCACCGTCGCCACTACCCTCGTTGTTGTCGTCGGGCGCGATGATGTTCTCGATAGTGAATGGTTTCTTAACCCTCTTCTCCGTATTCGTCGTCAAAACGACCTGGTCCTCACGATTGGAGGGCAACTGAGTTCGCTCGACCTCCACTGCCAGGCTCGAGATTGGCGACAGGTGGCGATAGGATGACTTGGACGTGAGCGAATTCGGGGAGGTGGGCGACGTCGGTGGCGACGAGGCGGTAGTCAGGGCGGTGTTTCGAAAGAGATTTATTCTGGACGATGAGGACGATGACGAGGACGACGAGAGTGGCTCTTCCTCGGCGAGTTTGTCGCGGTTGTAGCTCGAGATCTCGTAAGTATTTTCACCCGTGAAAATCGTCTCGCTTTCTCTACCGGTAGCGGCGATCCCGTTCTCCAGAGCGCGATCGCTCGACAGACGGCGCTCGTCCCGCATCTCCCGCGTCGGATGGATAGTCTGTCTACTGGCGGTGGTCTGCTGAATATACGGCAACTGCGATACCGCGTACGATGGCGAAACTGCCGGAAAGCCAGAGAAATTCCAAGAAGCGGCAGAGTGCAGCAACGCAGCGGCCTCATACGTCCTCAAAATCTCGTTACTGCCATCGGTAGCACCACCCGCGAGTCTCTGTCTCACTTCGGGTGACAGTAAATAGTAGCCAGCGGTGACGGCTTCCGGCGCGGTTGGTCCAGCCGGTAAACCAGTGGCACCGTCGAATCGTCCGAAGCCGACCGCGCCGGTGAAATCACCGTGATTCGCGACCATCATTCGCCTCTCCTGTATCTCCCATCGGAGCAGGTCATCCCGTAGACGGTGAAGATTCGCCAGGCTGAGACCGTTGCCGGAACACGCGCTCGCGTCGACGATTCCGCCAGTCGACGCGACCGGTTCCGGATGCG